CCCCCCCCCCGCGCCCCCGTGCTCATACACCGCTCCCCGTACGCCTGCCCCTGGGAAGCAGGCCTGCGCAGCCCCGCAGATCCCCATCCACAGGATGCCACAGCAGCGAGGATGAGCGCAACCCACGCGCCCGGGCCCGGGCCCAGATCGCCACATGGGTCGCGGATGCTGCGCCGGAGCAGGCAAGGGGCCCTCGCCGGACGCCAACGGGGCGTCACGCGCGGTCGCATGTCCCATCTATCTCTCTCCCTCTCTCATGCAGGCGCGCGCGCGCGCGCACACCCACACACGCATGCAAACGTGCGCGCAATAGCAATCGGCCTTTCCGCCACCAAACCGCCCCCCTCCCCCCGCCGGCGGGGATCTTTAACTCGCCCGGCCCCCGTGAGGCGGGGCCCCCGGCGTCCGGAGGGGGGGGCAGGCTCGGCGCGCGGGCGCCCGCACGGTGGCCGGCGGTCCCGGCGACGCGATGACCGACGCCCCGCACGCCGGCGCATACAGGCCCCGGCCACCAGCCCCTCGGCCCGCGCGAGATGGTCCTCGGCGCCTCAGCGACGCGGTAGAGGCCATGGAGCAGCTCCCGGCGGCGGGAAGACCCCAAAGAGCGGTACCCAATGACTGCGCGCTCTGCCTGCGCCTCGGCGCTACGCAGACCATCGTTTCGACCTACCCCCCCGGGTTTGGCGCTGGCCGACGGCTTGCAGCCATCCTGCCACAGGGGACCCGGAGAAACGCCCAATGCTCTCGGGGGGAAGGAAGTACCGAGGGGCAGCGCACCCGCCCGGGGTTTTGAGCTCACCTGCCAGACAGCTCTCGCCCCCGCCGCCCCCCCCTCCCCGGTGGATGATGGGCATGCTGCGGCACCGGCGTCAAGGCAATTGGGGGCGGGCCGAGCGCGCGCCCCGGGCGAAAAATGCACCCATGCCGGAGTGGCCCACGCCGACCGGTGGGAGGTAAATGCCATGTCCACCCGAACAGCCTCCAGCTTGCCTGGGGCTGGCGCACCCTCTCCCGTTCGTCCCCCCCCTCATCCTGCCCCGACTCACTCGGGCATGCGCATGCAAGCACGGCTGCCTGGCGCAGGGAGAAGTGCACAGTTGCCTGCATGCACATTTTACATGCGCACGGGCCCGAGGCGGCGAGCGCAACAAAATGCCCGAATGCGCGCGCGGAGCGCCAGCGCCCGGGGGGGGCAGGACCGGCAGAGGCCGGACGGCCGGACGGCCAGCCGGCCGGGTGACAGGGGAAGCAACGGTGCCGGCGGGGCACGGGGCGCAGCCCAAACGCCGGGTCCAGCCGCGACCCTGTGGGTGAAGCGTGCTCCATCGAGCCCACAACACCACCCCGCGTGATTAACTCAGCCATCTGAGTTACGCCGGCCGCCGTGCCCCACAATTGGCCGGATTGTGCGCCCTCCCCCCTGCCTGTGCTCGCCCGAGAGTGTGGGAACAATGAATCATTTGTGAGCCACCGCGGCCGACCCGCCGGCGGACGACTGCGGTGAATCATTCCGCCCGCTGGATGATTCACCCGCCGGCGTCGGCCACCTGGCGCCCTGCGTGATATGATTCACCCGCCGGCCTCGCCTGGTCCTTCGGCGGGGGGCCAGGGCAGCGATGAATCACCGTCGCCGCCGCTGCCACCGCCGCCGCCATATCGGTCTGAGCCATCTTGCGGGGCTTGTGAGTCGTGGGCTATCTATTTCCATTCCCAGCGGGGGCCCCGTTGCCGCGCATGGCGGCCGGGCGAACGGGGCTGCCCGCCGGCCGGCGACGCTCCTCAGGCGCCCGGGCCGCCGGCCATCTGCAAAGCCATGGACACCTTCTGCCGGAGGACGGCGACCATCGGGCGGCTGTCGGCGTTGGAGCTCCACAGGAGCCAGAGCAGGTCGATGACCGGCTGGATGGCCGCCAAGGCGGCCGCATGCGACGCGGTGGCCTGCTCGATGGGTGGCCGGGTGCCGGACAGCACGAGCGAGATGATTTGGTCGAATGTCTCGCCTGCAAGCCGTGGCGCCCGAGCGGACGCATCGGGGCGGGGGGGGGGGG